ACTAAGTACTGAATACGTCATATCTTTTGATTAATCGTTCACTACATTAATAACTATGAATACCAACTGTCAGAATCGATAGAATAGCGACGGTTATCTCGTAATTAGTTCCAAATCACTGAGCCAAGTTCCGCCCAAAACTTCAAATAGGCCTAAACGATGACAGACATAACACAGCAATTCAGCTAATAATCAACTAATTAAGTCAGTTAACAGATACGCAAAAACAAATTCATGACAATACCATAAAGACGTAACCTCGAAAATGATACCAAGTTTTAATATATCAAGCACCAAGTAGTAAAATTTGATTTTCCAGTAGGTGGAATGTAATGTCAGCAATCTCAGGTGAAGATGGTGATCCCATGCTAACTCCACATGTTTGGGTGTAATATTCATTATTAAACTCGAATGTGTTTCTTTTCAGAATGATTTCAAGGAGTTTAATCATATATTCCAAAGGTAGTGGTTTCAAAGGACTATCATTGTGATTGTAATTCGATTGCTCGGATCGCTTCTTCGTGAACAGTATTGGTATACATCGATACGACATCCATGGTTACTAGGACGTTATTTTTAGATACTTGTACTTTTTCGATTTTGTTAATAAAATCAGTAGTATCTTTGATGTATGTATGTTGCCTTTTAACGATTGGAATTAAAACGTGGTGATATTTTCTCTGTCGGAACAGAGCAACCACCAAGTGATTATTGGTCTACCGACGAATATACTGCCCTCTGGTGGTGTTTTGTGTACTTTAGGCAGTAAATACGACCGTGTCGTTCTAACTTTGTTGTTAAATGGGTCTTGGATTTATACGTGTCGTAATCGATTAATTCCAGATTGTACATTTTTGTAATAAGCTTATGGGCCAAATTAGTAACTATGATATCGTTGTAACTAATTTTAGTATAGTATTGCTCGTTGTTTAGTTTAGTAGGCTTGCATATATATAGTCAGTTGTTTGGGTTTATTTGGAGTAATTTTAGATATCTCAACTTTGATTGCCTCAATGTAATTTTCGAGGTTATTGTTATGTGAGTCTGGTGGGTTCCATGTTGATTTCATTTTGAAAGGATGTGGTTGAGATTGTTTATTGCGAAAAATTCCGAAAGAAATTGAGACCAACTGAGCTTGATCAGCCATCCGTTTATTTTTAGCCAGTTTTGCATTGTATTTTTTTATATGTTTGCATATCACAATGTGTTTCTTACGTGATAAGTGTCTATTGCGTTTTGTGCTATTGATTGTATGGACGATATTCAAATAATTCTCATAAAAAATATTTGTTTTAAATTGGCAAAACGTTCGTAACTTAGTTCTACTGTTTGGGGGTCTACGAACATCGTCAAATAAAGCATCTTTACAACTTTTGGAATAACAATCTCTATCTTTCTTTCTAATTAACAACGTTGTTTCATCGGTAATTTGGGAGATACACCTATTCTAATAGTATGCATATTGTGTTTAATTAATTATTTCTTAATAGCTAAAGCAAAAGATGGTTTTCCTGTCAGTGCCAATTTTTCAGACTCTCTATAGGCTTTGTAAACGAGTCGATTAGATGACATTTTCAGAATACGTTTCCAAAATTTAATACGGATTATATTTCTGCCAATACTAGGTGGATATCGTACGAGTTCACCCATAACTGCACTGTTGGTTGTATTTTGCCCCACACCTAATATATATTTACACCACTTTAACTGAACATCTTCAATTGGTTTACAATACCGATTCCCTATAACTGCCACTCCATAGTTTAAAATTGGTTGAATTTCCGAGTCAAATATTTGTTGAAGTAATTTTGAAGAAATGTCGTTACCAATTCCTTTCCTGTCCATGGCCGAAATTGCACATGCCAACTTAAATGAACCATTTTCGGCAAAGACAATACCTAGATATGTATAATTTACAACAATATCAATTTGATTTCCAAATAGTTTAAAATCCAAGTTATAGTCATCACAGTCGACAATATCTTTATTGAAGATAATAATTTCAGTTTTAGTAGTGTTTACAAACATTTTCCACGTATAACAATAAAATTGGAATCTGGCAAGCAACAACTGTAAACCCGAAGCACTATCACATACAATAACGTTGTCGCCGGTATACATAAGACATGTGAGTGGATAATCATCCAATTCAACCCCATTAAATGGTGCTTTATTCAAAGCCCTTTCTAAATAGTTTAGAAAAAATGCAAATAAAATTGGGCTTAATATGCCCCCTTGTTGTACTCCAATCTCAGATGTAAATGTTTTTGTGTAACCATGCGGTAATTTTACACAATATTTAACCACACTGTACATACTCTGCAAAAGATTGACTATTTTACAACTAAAGCCTACTCCAACAAGCTTTACAAATAAACTAGCTCGATCAACATAGTCAAACGCTTTTTTATAGTTGACAAAACAAACGTTTAATCTCTTTCTAGTGGCTCTATATTTCTCAATTAGCGTTGACAGGATAACAATATTATCCTCAGTGCTGTGATTTGCCCGGAAGCCTGCCTGATTATCACTGAATATTATTGGTATCAAACCATTTGACTATTCTTTCGTTAATAATAATTATAAAAAAATTCGAATTTTTTAGAACGGATATTTGCGACAAACTCATGAAAGAAATTACTGTTTTGATTCGGTTGTAAATATGTAAATATTGTTTGCTAGGTTCTTTGAAAAACATGGAGAAAAGTAAATATTGAAAATACAAATCAATATTAATAATAATATTTAGTGGGATAAAGAAAAATCTAATACTATATATTTTCTCAAAAGTCATAAACGTGAGCGTTGTTCTATCGCAAGCTGTTACGTCATAAAAAGAAAATTTCCTTCAACAGACACAATATGTGTTTTGGGGTTTACATATGTGTACTCTTAAAATAAAATAAAAAAAATGTTAAATTTTCAAATAATTCCCAGAAATGGTTTTCAAATACATTGGTAGTAATACACAACAACAAAATCGCAAGGATCTCAGGAATTTATTAAAACATATGCTGCCATATAGAACGCCCATAAAGCGCCCTATATCGATGTAGCAGTACGAATTGCGTCAACAAGTTGTTATCAGCTTTCAATTTTTCAATTTTAAATTCACTTAAATTTACACAAAAAAACTCATTATTTGTCAGCATTCTTTATTCTATGTTTTTGTCATATTACCTCAAACCCTGAAAATAGAAGTTTGGGAATAAACGGTGTGCATTGTGGTGAGATAACTGTCATAAAGGTAATTGATAGGTCATACGTGTTTTCAACTCTGAAAGGACAGTTGGAATTTACCAGGTGTGCTTGTGATCTAATAACAAAGAGTGTTTACAACTTTGGAGAGAGAAATTGAATCTACCAGGTGTGCTGTTATTTGAATAACAAAGGATGTTTACGATCTACTGAGTTGCCTACGTGACAAGGCTGCTAGCAAGATCACATTCTGATTGGCTCATGTGGAATCCCAGGTGATGTCACTGAATCTGGGCCATTTATGCCTATATATTGGACAGACTGAGGACAGTTGGGGTCCATCATTTCAACTTAGTATCCTGTGTGTTGCTGCTACTATTGTACAACAAGTGATACAGGCTTCAATCATCATTCTGTGAGACTGCTTTGCGAACTCCTGCTTTCAGCGCTGCCTTCCAGAATAACAGCGTTCCTCTGCAAGCAAGACTCCTGTATTTCTTCGTTGTTGTGCTGCAGAAGCCATTGACTGTCGTCCATTAATACATCCTAGAACTGTGAGTTATCACCAATGCACGCTTCCCTAAGCAATCCCCTATTTTAGTGACTTTATTCATTGTATTTTTCTATGCTTTATTTCTTGTAATTATGTTAGGTATTAAAGCCAGGAGCTTTAACTTGATATTTTGGTGTATGTGTATTTCATTTCCAGTACTATTGTCTTGTCTACGCCATTCTAGCAGTGAAAGAACTCGGTATGTGTTCTGTGGGTGTCCCTCTCACTTGCAATAAGCAGGCCTTACACTGTGTAATTATTAATATATTCTAATTCAAAATCATGGTAAATGGGTCTATCATCGGCACATATAACACATTATAAAAGTACGATCGCCTTGATTCCTAAAAATGTCAAAAAATAACCCATTGCCATTTTAAAACAAAATTTATAGTCTCTTTGTGTGCCTGACAAACTGATTAGTTTCTAGAAATGACCCCCCACCCCCACCCCGGGGGATGTTGTCACAACAGTTGTATGATAATTGTTATTTTCAACCTGTAAGGCGATTAGACCGATCTCGATTGAAGTAAATATTTAGACAACGTCTTTTCATTCAAAGGCTGAAGTGAAGTGCGTTTTTATAGTAAAACAACCGACTTGATTGGTTCACCATTCAGATCAAATTACCGTCACGTGCGAGATATTTCACTAAACTAATGAATATTTCACTTTATTATGATTCAAAACGAAATATAGCGAGTGTCACATGTGGAGCAGGATGTGCAAAACACCTGACGTCACTTCCTTTATACCATTGAATCTTTCTTTTATTGATGTGACTATGTAGTGTTTTGTACTTTGTTCTTGTGGATTGATTTGTCAATCGTTGTAGATCATTTGTTTTGTATTGTTCGACTTTCCCTGTACTACACAGGGCAGCCGTATATACAGAGTGAAGACATAATTGTAGTTCTGAGGTTTCATATATACCAAGTGGAAATTCCCAGATAAAACAACACGTTGACCAAATGATTATTATATGTCACAATAAGTTTACAATAAAATCATGAAAACGTTATCAATTCAAATTACGTGATTGTCATGATATCACATAAAATAAAAAATGACCACACGATCACTGTTAAGAATGAGAAGCATTTTATTTGCAGCATACACTATCGTGATGAATTCATGTTTATCCCTGTTTTATAATGTTTATAATTCCAATGGTATAAAAGTGTAAAACAAAGAGAATAATATGCACGTAAAAATGCCATATATGAAACGTTAATAATATCAGTCCACTTTAATTCTTGGTTTTCCGCCGACATAATTCCTTAATTCCTTGTAAACCCCATATGATAGAAGATATAGTAAATATAACACGTATAATCCATGGGTTGGTTAACATCTGTCCAATTCCTAATACAGGGACCGATGTTGACTTCAAAGCATCGCAAGATAGATATAATATACACCGGAAACATTCTAACGATGGAGCGTACGAGCTGGATAAATAAAATCATAGATGCATCATATAAATCATGGGTGCATCATATAAATCATGGGTACATCTAATAAATAATAACTATTTGGTAGCATAACAGAGACTGCTACCATATTGGATGATTATGCAATTTTTTAACCTTTTTTACTCAGTTTTCTAAATACGTTCTGTAATAATGCATTATTAAATACGTAGACGTATCACTGCGTGCGTGATATGCAGTCGGACTACCGTATTATGGTAACAACTTTATTGAAATATATATGTTCAGTTGACAAAATACATGAATAAAATGCCTGTATCGTCTTCGAAGATTATATGATTAAACTAATCAATGTACGAGTCATAAACAAGTTACAGGTGTGGTGAATGGATGGTTTGTACTTCTATTATAATAGTCAAAGATTTAATGTACTCGGTACTTTCTGAAGTTACTGACAAGTTTTATTGAGCATTGTATTTAGACAAGTATGAGATAATTTGACTAGACCCATATTTGTAGACGATTAGTATATCAAGTGATATATTATAATGTAGGGCATCAAGATCACCAAATATGGAGTATTATTAATGATGTAAGCATATTACAATACATGAATGTTAGAATAAAACACACATAGCGTATAGCTAACTCAAAAAAAAAGAGAATCAAGATTAAATGAATAGGTGAATCATAAATCGAATAATTGCAGCATTTTTTAATACAAGGTGCGCATATACGTGATGTCATCAACATTATTTTAATGCATTCAACTTGCAGAAATGCTACTGCTCAAATTGACTAAGTGTTCAAAACGTCATAAAAAAGACGCCACCGACGGTGCGATTCACACAATCTTTTTGCTAGCTGTCAAACAACTTGTCAAGTCAAAACATCTACGCGCCAAAGTGAAAAGGTTAACGAGCGAAAAATAAAAAGTTAACCTACCAACCGTATTTTCTTTAAACCACGCCCACTGACGAGAAGTCATACAAAATGGGAACTGACGGAGGTGACTCGTTCCGAAAAATAAAATCTAAAAAAAATACCAGGTTGAAGAATATTAGTTGCTCCTTCAAATTTCGCCAAAACCTTGCCTACATTTTACCGATATCTGCAGAATAAATCAAGAAAACTACACAAATTGACTCCATTTACGAATTCCTAACGGTTTGCCCGAACGCACGGCAAAGTTTGGAGGCGTGGCCTGTAAGCATTTGGCAACAACCAATCACAAAACTGGTTACGAACCACATCGAGGTCACGACTCGGTTAGCCTTGCTCAACTGGTTCGTAACCTGGGCTCCCTATGCGCCAACTTAAAAAATGTATACCCAGTCTCCCATCACTCTAGTTCTTGTCACGAGAAGTACGTCACTGGTACTGTCATCAATTGGAAGAAACAAAGCCGATAAAGAAATCTTGTCAATGTTTCGATCAACTCGCCATCTTCGAGTTGTGGTAATATCCTCTGCTGCCTTTGCTTGCGGATCCCCTTGTCGGTGAAACGAAACCTTTCTGCTATTTCACGAAAAGAAGAAAAATGACAAGTGATCGGATCACTGCCACACAATATAATCATATTTTTTACCTCTTCTGATGTTTTTGACCGTCTCTTCAATATTCACTGACGACAGTAACGGTATTAGCCATATTTCTGGCATTTGACGGTCAAATGTCTTGAGAAGCAACGCAGATAAACTTATTTATTCTGTGGGCGTGGTTCAGAGTGGAGACGGTTGGCGGGTTGACTTTTATTTTTCGCGCGTCAACCTTTTCACTTTGGCGCGTAGATGTTTTGACTTGACAAGTTGTTTGACAGATTGCGAAAAGATTGTGCGACGCGCACGAACATTTAGTAAATTTGTGCAGTAAATGCAGAGTCACCTTGCTATTATGGTCGTTCACAAAGTCAACACTTATCTTGCACAATTTGCAATTTTCAAAATCGTATACTCAATAAAGCACAATCACAGTGGTTCCTACTACCTTCCACAGTATCATTGCCAATGTCTGGAAATAGCTTTATTTGAACATTTTGCTTTCTTTCAACGTCATTATTTGATTATTTTTACCTTATTACAGTCACTCGTAGAGCAAAATACGAGTCAACGAGAAGCTACTTATAAGTGATTGGATTGCCACACAGTCCCACCAATCAGAGAGCAGAACAGAGATATATTTTTTGACTGGGAACCACTTTAGAACTGGTTGTTTTTAACAAAAAAGTTATGCGAATTTGTATATCAACTCCTCAATAAGTTGGTGTCATATTGATTTTTGAACTAGCCACACTACATTATTCGGAAATTTTGGCAGTCATGAAATAAGCAATAGCTACTGAACACATTTAGTAAAACTGCAGAGTCAAATGTTTTGACAAATTAAGCACGGGATGCATTATGTTAATCTAGTGAAATTGTCACGAGCTCCAAACGTGAATCGTAGCGTTCGGTAACTCGGTTTAGCTCACAGTGGCACCAAATTTAGCAGACTGCGTAATCCTGAACTTCAAAGTAGTCCTCTATGAAAGATCTGAAGTGCATATAGCCACAGTGTGACTTCATTCGAGTTGTAACCAAGTCTGCTTATATGTCACGATACAACACGACACGATGTGGCATGGCATGGCATGACATGTCATGACATATGATACATGATATAGTATATAATCATTTCAGCACTGACCTTTTCTCAAATATTGCGCCAATACTGATAACGGAGAGAACGATATAGCATAATACACACATTACCTCACGGTGTGATAAACCCTGGAATATGAATGGTAAACTATATAAATATAAAGTTTTTGTAATGTATTAATTTGTAACTTAGTATAATATAGTATGACAACTGTTGGACCAGTAAAAACAATTGTGTAGCGTTTTGTTTTTTGAACGAAAAAGGTGATATGTCAGGGCTGCTGTCGTCCAATGGGTACTCTCAAAGTTAATTTTTGAACAAAAAAGTTGATGTATCGGAGCAGCTAGCACCCCGGGGTGCTCCCAGTAGAAGTATATTTTTAAATAAATTTGTTGTGCGTGTAAAGTGATGATTAGCACCACACGGTCATTCCGTTATCTCGGAATCAATTAAGTACAGCATGATTGTACCACTCACATTTTCACTATAAATGGTTTCTACAGCCAAATAAATGAGCATATAATGTACAACAGCATAGATATCAGCCAATAACGAATGTCTCATATTATATTTGTACACTGGATATGATATCTACAATTATAAAAAAAATAATAATTTATTAAGTTAATAAATTTTAGGCGAGATTGAACTAGATAAGAATAACATAAACAATTCCATAACACAGTCTGATTAAAATCCGATGTAGGTATATGTTTCATTTTTAATAATTTCCATAATTTTTGTATTGTCGCGTCTGTTTAGTTGTGATTATTTTCTTGAATTTACTTAATGTCGTTTTTACTTATTGTTATTTTATATTTCACCTCGGACGCCTAATAAAAAAACACGTATTAACGGCCAATAAAGCATAGTCTTATATAAATAAATAAATACAAACTAGGACAGTAAAAATAAGTGCATTTTTGAAAATAAATAAATAAATAAATTTGAACCTATGCCTACATCGGATTTATATTAGAAAATAACTTTGTAGCGCGTTGTTTTGTTGATATAAAACCTAATATAAACAACTGAGAAATAAGCTATTTTAAATTTCTACTATTCGAAGTGGTATGCTGGATTTCCTATTTGCATATTTAATGTACATTTTATTATTTTTGATATATTTTATATGATGCACGTGACCTGTTATTGGTAATCTCAGTATACCAATTTGTAAGCTGAGCTGAGCATTGTCTAAACACCCACCTCTCGATAGTCCTCCCATATACCGCATCGTCGTTTACCCGGATACCATCCGGGTCCCTTCCATATAACGGATAATTTATCATACCATCCAGAGAGATTGCAAAACTTAGTGTACATCAGTCTGAAGTGAACAAACTTAACCGAAAAATAGAAATAATTATAGAACTCATCTGTACTCATACATACTACCTATACCGTGCTGGTCATACTGGGTAACCTGATATCATTTTAAATTTGATTTCGAAAAACATTTTTTATTGATATTATAATATGTTTCTTTTAAGTAATTTGGAAACTCTAGTGTTTACATATTATACACACACACGTGATATTCAATGACCATCACACATTTTCTAATTAACCACAATCTAACAAATATTTAGTAATGCAAAAACATTGAATAACACAAACAGTTACCATTCAATTATGTACGTTTAAGTCACATTCTGTTATCTGCGAATTACCTGTATATATATAGGATTCCAAGAGTTGACTAGCGTCGTTATACCATACACTGGTTGCTCTTTCTCTTCTGCAAATGTACCTGTAAAGTACCATGAATATAAATTAATACATTATATGTTCATGTATATGACTCCATATAGAATTCATACGCAGGGGAAAGACATTTAACTAATACAGCTGTATCGATGAGAGTAAACAGGTAATGATCACTGAACACATAATAGCACATCAACATCAAATGATTTACACCGATGTGTGAACGTAAACAATCACATACAAAATACAACAGGGGTCATTACTAGGTCATCATAGAACGTCTCGATTTTGATGATATGGGAACTATATGTTATATTCTCTATAACTATATGTTATATTTTTTAAATCATAACTCTTATAGCAATTAAGACATAACTTTTAGAGCAAACCAGATTATAGTGTATTTTATTGTCTCAATTTGTAAAGTTGTTAATAAATGAATATAGCATATAACTGATATACTAGTAATAAAATATTTACAAAACTATTTTACATCATCGCAGATGATGCAAATCTATTTAAATTCATCAAAGACAGCCACATCAATCTTTCCGATATCAGCAATGACTTTCAAGGAGTCTGCGAATGGTGCAGTGCTAACAAACTCACAATAAATGTACAGAAAACAAATTATATGATTATTAAAACAGCACAACGAGTTGTTAACACCGAGAGCAGTCTGTTTATCCAGGGGTCTCCAATTGAGGGGATTCTATCAACGAGTTGTTAACACCGAGGGAAGTCTGTTTATCCAGGGATCTCCAATTGAGGGGATTCTATCAACTAAATACTTGGGAATGTCAATTGATCGTCATATCAACTGGAAATCCCACATTGACAAAGTCAGGAAAATAATTGCCCCCAAAGTTGGCATCATTTCTCAAATTCGCCACTATGTTCCTAAATATATACTTCTCTTGCTATATAACTCGATGATATTACCACACATAATTTACTGTATAGAGATTTGGAGGAATACTTATTCAACGCTATTAAATCCAATTACGCTTTTACAAACGAAAATTGTCCGCCTCATCTCATTTTCTGACTTTTGTTCTCATACTAACCCTCTCTTCAAATGTCTTGGTATTCTAAATATTCATAAGCTCTATATATTACACATCTGTCTGTTCGTTTTTGACTTAAAGAAGAAGCAATATGCCCATAGTAGTAACAAATATCTAGACACACTACCCCATAATTTCCCTACAAGTATATATATAACAAATACTTTACTCCCAAGATCAATCTCACATTAAATCAACACTAAAACTAAAACTTTCCAGACTCCAAATTTGTTATTGCTATTATAGTACTCATTACATGCTTTAAGTATGCCTTGTGAATCTTAGCTTATCACTACTTTATTATATTTCTTGGATCATTGGTCACAGACTAGACTAGTTTGAATAAACTATTTCTGTGACCCTACCAGTAACAACAGTATATACTATATTACTATCATTGTAATTACTACTATTATTATTCTAGTATTTATTTATTTATAATTTACTACTCAATGTATACACTGTTTCTGGTGAAATACATTTCATTCATTCATTCCTATGCTTGTAAATGTTACATTACCAAATATCTTGTCCCAAATAATCAGTGTTCCTCCATAATTCTTGTCAATGCAATAAGGATTTCTTCCTAAAATTGAAAGTGAAAAATAGCATAAAAAAATAAAGGAAGAATGGAAATTCTTATCAAATTTGTGCATTGTTCAACAAAGCCATTGTTCATTGGTATTAACGTTTAGTCAAACATCATCGGGAACTCCCACCAAACGATACGCTCCAATCAAACATTAAACATGTTGGCTTCAAAGAAAAGGAATCTCACAAGCGTTGGTGCAATATAGTGTGCGTGCTTCTCATTGTAATGTTAATCAGCTTCTATCCGGGCAATTAATAAGGAAAGAGATGCTCTCTTAAACTGTTGGGAATCAATCGCACTCTGCAATTATTAAATGTCGTCCTCAGCTGATAAAGTTATTTTAATATTTGGTGAATATGTGTTAAAATATGTGTTAAAATATGTGTTAAAATATGTGTTAAAATACAACAGAATTGCCCTACTTATTGTTAAACCATGCATTTTAATATTTGGTGAATATGTGTTAAAATATGTGTTAAAATACAACAGAATTGCCCTACTTGTTGTTAAACCATGCATTTTAATATTTGGTGAATATGTGTTAAAATACAACAGAATTGCCCTACTTATTGTTAAACCATGCATTTTAATATTTGGTGAATATGTGTTAAAATACAACAGAATTGCCCTACTTATTGTTAAACCATGCATTTTAATATTTGGTGAATATGTGTTAAAATACAACAGAATTGCCCTACTTATTGTTAAACCATGCATTTTATTTTATTCATCTCTGTAACTTGAAGTGTGAAATGAAAGGTCACTGTAAAAAAATTGTTATCTAAACACGACTACACGGAACATTGTAAATTGTTGGAGGTCAAAGGTTATGCAGATCAGTAGGCAAGGCTAGTGCTCGAAACTTCAACAAACAAGGGATATACAGAAATATAAGTAGTTAGAGAACCGGATGACGTCATGGAACCTAAAAGTGACAAAAAGAAGTCGGCAAATAAAGGCAATAAAGAAGACGGGACAAAACATGGTACCAATTCGTCACTGGGTGGTTTCTCGGGTAGCCTGCCGCGTAAAGAAAAAAGTGCGTCACTGGAAGGAGAAGAAGTTTCCCTGAAATTGGTTTATTCTCTATTGAAAGAACTAATGAAGAAAATAGATAAACACTACGAAAAGGTTCCAAAAGATTCAGATGAAACTAAATGAAGTAGAAAAGCGTCAAACAGTCGCCGAACAGAAGATAACAGATATGGCGGAGACCGTAAACAACCTAGATTACCGACAGAAATTGAAATCGAAAGGGTCAGCGCTGAACTAGAAGCGGCCAAGATGGAGATAAAGGAATTAAAAGGTGAAACTATAAGACAGCAGAGGTATTCACATAGTTACAATCTGAGATTCGGTGGCATTCAGGAGGAAGAAGGAGAAGACCCGATGAAAATAATACAACATCTTATAGGCGACAAATTTGACG